CCATGACTCATGGGCCCAGCCGCTCCACAGCATGTGGGATCTTCCCGGACTTGGGCACGAACCCGTGTCCCCTGCATCGGCAGGCGGACTCTCAACCACTGCGCCACCAGGGAAGCCCAAAAGCATTACCTTTTAATAAAGGTGTGTATAGCGTTTTTTTAGACATAATGCTACTGCACACTTAACAGACTACAGCATAATGTAAAAAACAACTTTTATACGCAGTAGGAAACCAAAAAGTTTGTGTGACTCACTTTTTGGTGATATTCATTTTATTGTTGTGGTCTGAAACCAAACGTGCAGTATCTCTGAGGGGGGCTGTGTGTGCGTGTGTGTGTGTGTGTGCACGCGTGTGTGCGCGCGCGTATGTATTTTTGTTAAACTACCAGCATCCAAAGCCTTCTCATTTGGAGGGTGTCTCCCAGCATGCAGGTCTTTATGGGAGGCAAGGCCTATTATCCAGGCTTGGAAAAATCAAATGCCCGTATCCAGGGTTTTGAATCTTCATGAAATGTTCCAAAGCCATGGGCAGCTGGCAGACAGTTCCATGGTGGTGACCTGGGCAGCAGCTTCCGAACCAGACCCTTCCTGAGGTATAAGCTTGGCTGTCACCCAGCCTTCTCAGATCTTCCCCAATTTCTGAATATCTTTCCCCCGGCTTCTAGTTAATCCTACAAATTCCCATAAATTCCTTTCTGTTTAAGTTTTTGTCTCAAATCTTTGACTACTGCAGTAAGTTTGGAAAGACATAAAAAGCTATGAACATCAAGAGCGGTGTTTCTCAAATTGAGGATCTTGTTAAAAATGCCAATTTTTATTCAGGAGGTCTGGGTAGGGCTTGAAACTCTGCATTTCTAACTAGCTCCCGGGTGATGTTGATAATGCCGGTCCACAGACCACACTTTGGGTGTTGAGAACAACAGCACTGAACGTGGGCCTTCCCTGGTGGTCCAGTGGTAAAGAATCTGCCTTCCAATGCAGGGGATGCGGGTTCGATCCCTGGTCAGAGAGCTAAGATCCCACATGCTGAAGGGCAACTAAGCCTGTGCGCCACAAGTACTGAGCCCACACGCCTCAACTAGAGAGCCCATGTGCCACCAACTACAGAGCCCATGTGCTCTGGAGTCCTCGCACCACAACTAGAGAGAAGCCCGCCCACCGCAACAAAAAATCCCACGTGCCGCAACTAAGACCCAACACGGCCAAAAAAATAAAGAAAATAAATAAATATTTTTTTATAAAAAAGAAGCACTGAATGCTTGTAGAGAAGTGGCTGGAAAGTAGAGAGAGAAAGATCAAGAAGGTTCAACGCTGTCTAATGGAGTTTGGACTTCATCCTGCAAGTAATAAGCAGCCATGAAAGGATCCAGGGGGAGTAAAATGAATAGATTTCCATTTTTCAAAGGCTTGTCGAAGTGATGTAGACAACAGAGCATGAGATGAGGGACAGGAGGTGGAGAAACCAGTTAGCGGTATGGCCGGCAGAATAACAACCCCTGCCCCCAAAACGTCCTCGCCCTAATCCCCAGAACCTGTGAGTATATTACATTATAAGACAAATGGGACTTTGCAGTTATTAAGTCAAGGACTTTCAGATGGGAAGATTATCCTGGATTATCCAGGCAGACCCAATGTATTCACATGATCCTTACAAGTGGAGAACTTTTCCTGGCTGCGGTCAGAGGGAGACAGGATTACGGAAGAACGGTGGGAGACGCAATGCTGCTGGTTCTGAAGATGGAGAAGGAGGCTCGAGCCGAGGAATGCAGGTGGCCTCCAGGAACTGGAAAAGGCGAGGAAATGGACTCTCCCCTACAGCCTCCAAAAGGAGGCTTGATTCCAACTCAGTGAGACCCATCCAACCTCTGACCTCCAGAACTGTGAGATAATACATTTGTGGTTTTTTTTTTTTTTGGCTGCATCGTGCAGCTTGTGGGATCTTAGATCCCCGACCAGGGATTGAACCTGTGCCTCCTGCAGTGGAAGCCTGGAGTTCTAACCACTGGGCCACCAGGGAAGTCCCACATTTGTGTTCTTTTAAGCCACTAAATTCATGGTAATTTGTTACCGTGGCAATAAAAAAATCGAATACAGGAGGCCACTGTGACATTCCAGGGAACGACGATGACAGCCTCATTGAAGAGAGAGGCAGCACAGAAGGAGAGACCTGGTTTGAAAGATTTTAAGGAGGATACAGAGGAAGGGTCATAGTCACCACCTGGGCATCTGGGTGGGGATGGGTGGTGAGGAAAGGACAGGAGTTAAAGGTTTTTCTCTCGGACAAATGGGTCTGTTGGTCAAAAGGAGGGAAAGAAGTGAGTGCAAATGCATGTGGGAGAAAGCATGTGAGCATGCATGCAAGTGTGTGAGTTGAGCGCATGTGAAAAAGTGCAGGAAAAGGAGGCAGGTCTCCCGTAATACCACTGGGTGCCTTGCTTCCAGTTCCATTTTTACTGAGAAGCTGTCTAATCTTAGCTCTCAAGCTTTCCCTCCTGGGAAAAGCACGTGCTCACCGCCAACACAAACAGCTGCTCTGCTCGTCAGTTATATTTTTCAGTTTAAAGTAATGATTGCCGTTCTAGGCATAAACCAGGCTCCTGTTGAGTTTAGATAGAGCAAAACAATTCAACAGGGTTTGCTCTCTCCCGGATGAGCGGACCGCGTTGAGTTTCTACCCCTGCAAATCCCGAGGATCAGACCTTGAACTGCGGTGACCCCTGCTTTGCTTCCTTTCCTGGCACAGCATCCCCCCTCCCCAGGCTGGAAGCAGTCGGGGAAAGGGACACCTGGAGGAGGCTGCCCAGTGCTTTCCCCTGGGCCGAGTCCATTAGGAATCATGAGGTTCTGTGCTTGCAACTTAACAGCTACTTATAGTTCACACTCTGAGATGCGTTCACAGACACATACTGGGGACCCAGCCTCCACAGGAGAACACGCCCCGTCTGGATCCTCTGGATCCCCTGCTTCGTAGCAAATGCAAGCCGGGCAAGCAGTTCTAGGAAGCTCAGAGAGTGGGTGTAGGCAGCTCTGGTTGAGCTGATCTGGAGGTGGCTGGTTTCAACCTAAGGACATCCTGGGAAAGCTGAGAACTTGCAAACCTGCTTTGAATGATGTCTTTGCCTGTGCCTAACTTGCCAAGTGACCTCCTCTGAGTAAAAGCGGAGCAAAGACCCTTTGTCCCTCACAACACTAGGCGCTAGGATTGTTGATATCCACCCACTGCTCAGATGAGGAAACCGAGGCTCTTGGAAGTTAAGATTCTTGTCAAGCATGGTGCCAATCAGACGTCAGAGCCAGAACTTGACTTCAGTCTCTTGATGATAAAATCTATATCTTTTGTACTTCGACCTGGGATACTGTCCCCCCTGGGGAGGGACACTCCTCCCTCCCCAGCCACCCCCCCACAGGTCTTCATCAATCAAGGTGTGGTCTGATGGTTCTCCTGCCCAGAGGTGCCCAGCACATTTAGGGCTGTGACTGGGGCACCCAAATGACCCAACAGTAATACAATCCTCCAACCAGTAAGTACTCCTAATCCCCTGCCCGTGTGTTCAGCCCTCTGCGAGGTGCACTGGGAAACAGTCATAGGACGATGGTAACTCCTGCCCTCTAAAAGCTTATAAAGCAACAGGGCTTAAACAGTGGGGTGTTCAAATCACAGAACCGGCATGGGGATCAGAATTGCTAGGCAGGGTCTGCTGGACTTTAGGACCTGTGCTCCTGCCTCCAATGCCAGACTGTCTCCCAGTAACGCTGCTTTCCAGTCCAGACAAGGAAACTGAGGCTCAGAGAGGTGAAGTCACTCTTCCAAGGCCATAGAGCGGCCTGTGGCCACTGGGGGCCTCCAATCCGAGGCGCCATTTCCTCTTGCCAAGCCTCCCCGCCGTGCTCACTTCCACACTCTAGTCCTAAAGAGGAGGTCTAGCCGGGAGAGGACGCCTGGGTCACACCCAGCAGGTCGCCGTACTGCCCTGCTTCCCAGTACCCACCGAAGAGGGCATCTGCGCCCCGCCCCTGCACTTCACGCCCAGCTTCCCCCATCTAACCCCATCACCACCACCACCCCGCCCCCAAAAAGTGCTACTTACATATTCTTTAATGTCCTTCGATTTCACAGCCTTGTAGGAAGAATATGCAGGGTAAAGGGTGCCAAATATTAGCCTGGAGGGGAGAGAGAGGGGGAAAAAAGAGAAATGTGATTTTCATTCATCCTATTTGATGGAAAATGTCATCTTCGATGCAAGAAGCATCCTCCAAGCTACAGAAAATGCTGCTGTGAGGCTTGATTAATTTTTCTGAATGCCCTGAAGGTTTTCTGCTCATGGCTGGGACGTGCTTAGGAACCTCTATGTCCTGTTACAGATCCACACCGACCTCCTTCAATCTGTCATTTGGCAACACAGCAGGGTGGTTTGAGGTCATGAAGCCAAAAATGGGGCCATCCTCTGGAAAGGCCGAAATTATATCTGGGGAACAAGATAAGACAGCTAAGGGGACAAACGAGTAGTCTGAAAGGAAGCAAGAAATTTAAGAAAGAGAGGGATGGCCACAGCGCCAAAGACACAGGCAGCTTGGGGAAGCCCACTGGATTCCGTCACAAGCCAGCTCAGAGAGGGGGGTCTCCCCAACACCCCCGTGATGTCCCGCCCCCTAAGCAGTATTCTCAGATACCAGGGAGAATCCTCCTTCCTCTGTGAGCCTTTCCTGACCTCAGCACCCCCTGAAGATTAGATTCCTCTCCCGTTCGTTACTGCCACTCCCTAGATAGTCCCCTTTCTTAGCCCTTATCCACACCACGTGCAATGGTTTATTCAATGTCTGTCTCTCCCACAAGCCTTTTAAGTTCCACGAAGTCGAGGATGGTGTCTATCTCGCTCATGGAACCACACCCCCTGGGACTGGTAAGTGCTCAGGAAATATATGTTCATTCTGGGAAGTTTCAGAGAGTGGTGAAGCAAAGGCCAGAGCCACCCAGGGGACACTCGTGACCTTGGGACTGAGGTCTCGGCAGCAAGGGGATGCCGGACAGCACCGGTCTGATTCAGTAGAGCCTCGGGCACAACACCACAGGCTCCAGAGAAATAAACACACCGTCCTTTGGCACAGATGCCCTGCTTATTAGCCACATCTGCCAGGGTGGTGTCCAGCCCCTGCCCTGAGGCAGCGTGTGAGCAGCAGAAGAGACAGGTGGAAAATGCATCTCGACCCAATGGCCCACGGATCTGCTCCTCTGTGAACCCCGATGGCCAAAAACACCTCCTGAGTGGTCACAGAGGTGGGAAGCACGGGCGCCCAGACGAGGGAGGCCAGTACTCCGTCCGTCTGCTGGACTCGCATGTGAAGTGGCTGCCAGCATCCCCCCCACCTGGTTCCCTTTGGACAGCGCAGGGACAGCAAGACGAATTTGCTTTCCAGTCTCTAAAAGCTCTGAAACACTGACATGTAAGGGAGCAGACTCAGTATTTCACTGCCCAGGGGAGGGAGAATGGGATGAAAATGGCGAGTTCTTCTAAATCTATTTTGGAGAAAAGAAGTAACAAATGAAGCAGGCCCAAGCCAAAGGGGCTTGGGACTTATGTCCATTCAGACTGAGTGCCCCTGACAAGGCCCTTCTCCTTCCTGGCCTCCCAGACCCTCCTCCCTCAGCTCCGGACCCTAAGGCCAGCAGCTGCCCCCCGGTGAGCCGGGCTCACAAGCTCACAATCTGTGACTTCCTGCTGTCTCCCTCTTCTGCCTGAATTTTAGTGCATGATCTTCCCACAACCCTTTTATTTCCCCCGATAAAGTCTCACTAATCCTTTAAGATCCACCTCAAAAGAGCCACTTCTGTGCGTCTTTGATCACTTGTCCCTCAGAATTTTCCTGACACTTGTTACGTCTATTACAGTCCTTATGTAGTAGTTGTAATTTTAAAAAAAATTAAAAATAATGATATTAATATCACTGAGTACTCACTAATGCCAGGCACTGCTCTACAGCCTGTATATTCTCTCAACACCCATACGGGATAAGAATTCTTACTACTCCATTTTACAGACTAGGTACTAGGACACTGAGGCCCAAAGAGACACAACAGCCAGGAGCCGAGCTGGGATGTGACCTGGGTAGCCTGACAACAGGCTTACTGTCTTCTCCCAGGGCTGCCTGGGCTGGTTGAGCCAGACCATCCAGGCCTGGGTGATCAGTGGGTTCCCTAGCACCTCACACAGCCCTTGCCCAAGTGGGTGCCGGACACGTGTCTGATGGGTGAATAAATGTCAAACGATTGCAATCTCTCTCCAAGGAACCAGCCCACTTGAGAGATTCACATGACTCTCTCTACAAGCTCAAGAGGAAAGCTGGTAAAATTCTTAGAAAGATCTAATGCTGCTTAAGAGCTCAAGGTCGGCTCAAGAGTGGGAAGGGAAGGCTTGAGTGCCATTCTCTAGAGGGAAGACGGGGCTCTGTGCTAACACACGCCTCCCAGCTTTCTGTGAACAGAGCCTTGCCTGGCACCTCAGAGCCGCAGAGCTCTGCACCCACCCTCCCTCTGCCCACTGCCATTTACTGCTACCCAGAAGGCCCCTCCCCAACTTACTGCCTCCATCTATCTGCCTGCTGCATTCCTCCTATCTGTGCCCTAATTCCTCCTACTGCTCCAAATTAGGGGGCTTCAGCCAGGTTGTCTCTCCCATCTCCTCCACAGCTGCAGTGGAGGGACCATGAGCCTCATGTGAATTCTAGCCTCTAAGGCAGTGGTTCCCAACTGGGGGTGATTTAGCTGCCTGGGGGACATCTGGGCAATGTCTGGAAACTGGTTGTCACAGCTGAGAGAAAGCTATTGGTATCTAGCGGGTGGAGGCCAGGGATGCTGCTAAACACGCTACAACATACAGGACAGCCCCAGTAAAGCATGATTTAGTCCACAGCATCAGAAGTGCTCAGGCGGAGAAATTCTGGTCTAGTGTGATGTTTCCTGGTCCTTGGGTCCTGGACCCTTCACCCAACCATCATGGGCAATCTGTCCCAAGAGTTTTTTTTTTTTTTTTTTTAAATCTGGGGAATTTATTTTTTATACAATCAATTCACTTTTAGTTGTTTTTTTTTTTGGCGGTACGCGGGCACTGTTGTGGCCTCTCCCGTTGCGCAGCACAGGCTCGGGACGCGCAGGCTCAGTGGCCATGGCTCACGGGCCCAGCCGCTCCGCGGCACTGGGGATCCTCGCGGACCGGGGCACGAACCCGCGCCCCCTGCATCGGCAGGCGGACTCTCAACCACTGCGCCACCAGGGAAGCCCAAACTACTTATCAACTTCTGACCAAGGAACAGAGGTATTGCTCACAGGAATTAACGGTTAACTGAGGCACCAGTTATAGTCACCGAGAAGGACAGCCCACCACTTCCCGGAGCCTGGAGTGACTGCAGGGGAGCAACTGTTGGCCTAGGGCTCAGCTACACGCTGTGGCACCACCGTTACCAACTGGGGCCAAGGCTTTTGTAAATCATGAAACGACAGTATCTTCCACAGTCTTCTCAGGCGTCTTAGTGTCGGGCCAACAATTCCCAATGCCAAGTTATCTTGAAAATTTAACAAAATCAATACTAGCAATATTTTTTTTTCTGAAATTAATTTTCAAATGAAAACAACAGGCCTATTTGTACAGTTGTCCATGTTATGATATAACAAATTGAATTTAAGAAGTGGTACACATAAGAGCAGGAAGCAAGATCTACCCCAGCTTGGAGAGGTCTCTGTAGTGTAGTGAATAGGGTATGGGGCTTCGAGGTTGTCTGACAGACTGAATTCAAATTACGGCTCATGCTATGGCAACATGGCGCTCTGGCACATGTTTTAAGCTCTCTCAGTCTCAATCTCAATTTCTTTATGTGTAAAAAGGGGAAAAACAATAACTGTATCATGGTTTGCTGTATGGATTAAATGAGCCTGAAGAAAAAAAAAAAGAAAAAAAAGAAATGGTACACCACAAAGGGGCTTTCAGAATACTGAATTTCTTGACCTGGATGGTAGTTATGCAGAGTTTTGCTTTTTAATCACAAATGTATATTAAACTGTACACAGGGCTTCCCTGGTGGCGCAGTGGTTGAGAGTCTGCCTGCCAATGCAGGGGACATGGGTTCGTGCCCCGGTCCGGGAAGATCCCACATGCCACGGAGCGGCTGGGCCCGTGAGTCATGGCCGCTGAGCCTGTGCGTCCGGAGCCTGTGCTCCGCAACGGGAGAGGTCACAACAGTGAGAGGCCCGCGTACCGCAAAAAAACAAAACAAAACTGTACACATATGTTCTATGTACTTTTCTGTATGTACACGTTATATATAATTTTTATTAAGTAATGTGCCATATTAAAAAAAAGAATTTTCTAACAAATGCTGGAGAGGGTGTGGAGAAAAGGGAACCCTCCTACACTGTTGGTGGGAATGTAAATTGGTACAGCCACTATGGAGAACAGTATAGAGGTTCCTCAAAAAACTAAAAATAGAGTTGCCATATGATCCAAAAATCCCACTCCTATGCATATATCCGGACAAAACTATAATTCGAAAAGTTACACGCACCCCTATGTTCATAGCAGCACTATTTACAATAGCCAAGACATGGAAGCAACCTAAATGTCCACTGACAGATGAATGGATAAAGAAGATGTGGTACATATATGCAATGGAATACTACTCAGCCATAAGAAAGAATGAAATGATGCCATTTGCAGCAACATGGATGGACCTAAAGATTATCATACTAAGTGAAGTAAGTCCGAAAAAGAAAGACAAATACCACATGACATCACTTGTACGTGGAATCTAAAATATGACACAAATGAACTTATTTACAAAACAGAAATGACTCACAGTCGTAGAGAACAGACTTGTGGTTGCCAAGGGGGAGAGGAGGTAGGGGAGGGATGGACTGGGAGCTTAGGATTTAGTAGATGCAAACTATTATAATATATATAGGATGGATAAACAACAAGGTCCTACTGCATAGCACAGGGCACTATATTCAATATCCTGGGATAAACCATAATGGAAAAGAACAGGAAAAACTATATATATATATAACACACATATAATATATATATATATATGTATGTATCTGAGTCACTTTGCTGTTCACCAGAAACTAACACAACATTGTAAATCAACTATACTTCAATAAAAAATATTTA